TCGATGGCTTGTCTCTGTAGTGAATTTGGTTGAAATTTTTATAAAATGTATATAAATAAGGTTAGAAAATGAAGAATGTCGTCTTCTGGTCTGTGGCGTCCTGTAAGTCTTGTGTAAACTGACGTTTCGGAGGAACGTTTCGCCTCTATCTTCAGTTTCTGACCCTGCAGCCACTTGCTCACGCTGGTTCCTCGCTCCAGGGGTTTTCTGCCCTGAAGATTGAGGCGATACTTTCCTCCGAAACGTCGGTTTACACAAGATCTAGACGGCGCCACATCCCAGAAAACGGCATTCTTCATATTCACAGCCGTGACAACCTCAGATCTTACATGGTTAGAAAAGTTTGTATGAGTTAAAAAAGTAATTAATCGCACTAGCTGACGTGCAACAAAATGGATGGCCATAAAACACACGGCTCGCAACTTCAGTGATATTACAGCTCTTTGAAAATTAAACAGGACGTAAACTGCTTTCCCTGGGTTCGATCCCGGGTCTGGTCAAGTGGGATTTGTGGTGGACAAAGTGGCGCTGGGGCAGGTTTTCTCCGAGTACTTCGGTTTCCCCTGCCAATCTTCATTCTACCAATTGCTCCACAATCACCCTCACCTATCATCTGGGGCTGGTACAATAGGCCAGAAGTGGCTGCAGTACACTGGACTGTTCCACCCCACTAGCAATAAAAAAATCTGCTTTCCCACTAGCGTTTGGAACACGTCTTAGCGAACCACTGATTTAAAGGGGGCTGTTTCACTCACACACAAGATTTATCTAAGGCTCGCTAAGAAACATCATAAACGCATGTGGAAAATTATTTTTAGTTTTCTGCAAAGTAATTTCTGTCGAAATGATTCCAGACCTACTTGCCGTGGATTTCTGGCGTCCCGTCAGGCCGTCTCCTGCCGCTCTGCAAGTAAGAATTATTTACATAACGGATGCAGAATCCAATGTAAATCCGAATTACGTAATAACATTCTTTCAGTTCGCCTTTCATTGCTATTTTTATTTTCATTTTACGTAATAACATTAAGTAATTTATAATTGGGGATAAGCAAAGGTAGTAAGGAAGTGGCAGAGAGGCAAATCGCGGAGAAACAGCAATAAAAAGGGCAATAAAAGTTAAGATTTCTCTTGTTATGTTAAATTGAGCCTATTTTATTCTTGTTCGCCTCAGCCCAAGGGAAATAAACAAAGGTGTGCCGGCAGTTACAAGGAGAGCGGAGCTTACAACCGAATTACCTGCCGTGATTATTCTTGCACCCCCAAATTTTCGAAAACAGACGCTTTTTTTTTTAATTATATAGACCTATTCGAGAGTCAGTCACAGAATACGGTGTCCTTTATTTATTTAGGTCTAATTCCATTTACAAGATATAAACTTGAAACCTACGCTTTACATACCTGAAGTAGACTACACGTCTTCGTATCCCAGAAGAACAGTAGCAGTACCGTAGATGGTTGAGGCACTATGCTACAAGCCGGAAGGTCGCAGGTTCAAGTCCCATTGAGGTTATTGAAATTCTTTTGCCGGCCTTCTCCCTACCAAAATTTTGTGTGCAATATATTATTTGTGTTCCCTATAGGACACGTATGCCCAAGAGATTTTAGCGCCGTTTATTTAACAACACTTTCAATATTGGGTTGTCTGCACGAATCTACTCACGAATTGTGTGTGTGCGTAAAAAAGGTAAAGGTATCCCTGTAACAGGCCGTGAAGACCCACAAGTTTGTGAGACGTCGAGGCTCCCACATTTTCTAGACAATCTGACCACAGATGGCACTGAGGTTGCCAGCCTTAAGCGCCTGTCGCCCTTTACCCCTCAGGAAGATTTCTGGTACTCATTTCTGATAGAGGCTGAGTCGACCCCAGGGCCATAGAGCGGCCACAAAGGTAATTAAGACAACAGTGAACAAACAGGTATTAATTAAATTCATTGGTTCACTGTTAGTTGATAATCAAATTGGAAAGAAATAGAAAATGTAGGCCTTTACTGAATGAGCAGTCAATATTCAGGTTACACTCTGTTCCCATTACTTGTGCTAAAAAAATCACGCACGCACACACACACACACACACACAGACACACTGTTATGACAATTGTTGAGAGTTCAACAGGAAGTCGCTTGAATTGTCATTCCAGACTTCGAACATTACCGCCCACTGCTTTCTCCTTTGTTCCTTTCTAATCCAACGTTTTATTGAATAATGCCTCGACAGCGATGTTCAACACCGTTTCCCACGAATAACACCCACAAATAATTAACCGTAAACCATTTCCTTTCTGTAATACCATATACTTCACATACCCGCATCACAATAGAATAAATACACACAGAATACATACAATACAATACAATACAATACAATACAGTATACTAAAGGAAACCACATACACGGTCGTTCGTGACTGCTACAAAACTTCCGTTCATGCAAAGAGTTAATGCCCGACAGTTCGTTGCCATAGTAACCTGAAATTGCGTAATGGGAATGGTATCTCGGGCTTACAAAACTATTTACTTGTAAATAGGATATGTATATTGTTTAATATGCACGTCAAAGTCTTATTATAACAGAAACAGTTTCAACACAGTCTGGGTTCGAGACTTTCCCTTCTTTTGTCACGATATGTTGCTGTAACTAGTGAAAGAACGTTCTTCATATGGATACCGACCAAGCGACCGCCACTTGTCGGCGAAGTTAGTTCCAACTTTAGCGGATAGAGGGTGTCGCGTGGTCAGTGCAACGAATCCCCACGGCCGTTATTTTCGGCTTTCTAGACCGGAACCGCTATTTCCTTGAACTAGCTCATCAATTAACCTCACGAGGCTGCCATATACCCAGAGGTCCTGGTTCGATTCCCGGCGCTACCAGATTTCCTCAGAAGTACTGGGTCTGGAACGGGGTGCACTCAGCCTCGTGAGGATAATTGAGAAGCCATTTGAAGGAAATAGCGGCTCGGGTCTAAAAAACCGAGCTTAACGGCCGTGGGGAATCTTTGCGCTGACCACGCGACACCCTCTGTCCGCACTAACTTCGCCGACAAGCGGCGGTCGCTCGGTCGGTATAGTTTTCTTACGGACTAAAATCACGGAGCTTGTAGCTAGCTTGCTTTACTTACTGAAAACTTCTGTATTCTGAGATAAAACATCTTATGGTTACCTGAAAAGCAACCGACGTTTCGTAGCATCGTATCGTTTCCATGTTCAGGGTATAAGGGTAAGTCAAAGCAAATAAACAAGAATCTCTGCCTGCCTCCTCCTTGCTGGTTTACTACTTGATTTGCTCTTCCGACATGAGGGTGCAGGGAAACATGGCTCTCCTTACCGTCTGCTTCTTGCTGGTTTCTTTGCGTGTCTTATTCGGCACTGAAGATGGAGGCAGTACTTCGCTGCGAAACGTCTTTGAGTTTCTATCTAAGTGGACCGAGTCACATCACAGAAGTAGTAACCGCTAAGAGACGAGGCAGTGTGTTTAGTAGGGCTCCTGTAGTTTTGACAGACCGCTGTAGTTAAAACAGCCAACGAAGGAAGCGAAAAAGACAGACAGACAGGCAGGCAGGCATATATTCTATTATGGAAACTTCTCCCCTACTTGAAGAAATAATCTCGGTGTGATCTTTCTGACATTTGAGCAAACAAAACACAAACCCGTCGAGACAACAAACAGATTTAAACCACGCTGTGGAAAGAGACAGAACAGATAGTTACCCAACCGCCCACTGTAGCAGCACCAGCGGATATACCAGCGCCACAGTACAGTGGGCGGGCAGATTCTTCATTAACATCGAAACAAAAGATGCAACGTTCCATATGATAATACAATGAAAATAGGTAAACAATGGAATATATGAAGGTTTCTAATACGGAAATACCAACTGCAAACTACAGCACCCAAAACTTTTCAATGCGTTGAACGCAATTTTGTACAGGACAGGAAATGAAGCATTACCAACGTGGATTATACACTATTAGCGATTTTAAAAGCATAAAAACCTATGTAAATTAAAAAAAAAATTATAAATACATTCATTTGGATAGTCGATGTATATAGTATATATATGTAATCCTCCATGACTTTTCGTCCGCAAGCCAACTATACCGACCGAACGACCGTCGCTTGTCAGCGAAGTTACGGCCAACTATAGCGGATAGACGGTGTCGCGTGAGCAGCGCAACGAATCCCCACGGCCGTTAATCTCGGTTTTATGGACCGGAGTATGTATGTAGTACGTATATTATACTTACAAGATATCTGTTGTTGACAGAAGGTGCAAGTTTACTCAGGTTGTAGCGAACGCTCCTCACTTGCATTCGACAGGTGGCTGGTTGTAATTTAAGCCGGAATATCAACTTTCATGGCCTCACAGGAATAATTTTGTGGCTTAACTATAAGTGTGTATAGGTCGCAAAATTAATTGCGTTCCCGCTGTCACCGTACAGCCTGATATGGACCGGCAATAGCGTGCAGAACTACACTTTTCGTGACTGCACAGGAACATTCTATAGCTTACTGTAGGTGTAGAGAGGCTGTAAAGCTATTTAGGTTCCTGCTGTCACCGTACAGCCTGATAGGGACCTGCAACAGTGTGCAGAGCTACACTTTCCGTGACTGTACAGGAACATTCTATATCTTACTGCAGGTGTACAGAGGCTGTAAAGCTATTTAGGTTCCTGCTGTCACCGTACAGCCTGATAGGGACCTGCAACAGTGTGCAGAGCTACACTTTCCGTGACTGTACAGGAACATTCTATATCTTACTGCAGGTGTACAGAGGCTGTAAAGCTATTTAGGTATTTCGTGACTGTACAGGAACATTTTATAGCTTACTGTAGGTGTAGAGAGGCTGTAAAGGTATTTGGGTCTCTGCTATTGCCGTGCAGTCTGGCAAGGTCCTGTAACTATGTTCATAACTGCACTTTGCCCTGATCCGCAAGGATGGGTGGAACGCACAAAATTGTGTATTATTTTAGGCGATCTATGTATCAAAAATTTTGAAGACTGATTGGGTCATAAACTCAACATTTACTTCCACATTCCAAAGTATCATATAATTTTCTATATTAAAAATCCAGAAACATCCACTTTAAGTTCTCAACAAATATCATAAGTAGTTTTCAAAAATGAAGCTCTTCAGAGCAATGACGACAAGTCACGAGTTATCTCATTCGAAACTCAGAATAACCTAACAGGTTCCTATCTCACATCCAAGAGTTTCAGTGTTATAAAATCCTTTGCCTGCCATGCAGAAACCATGAGTCGCCACTAGAGCATTGCTGCATTGATAAAACGCGCGGCAATCGCTTGGGTCAGGGAAGTATCCTGATGTAGTGCATATGAAGCCTGTTGTCGTGGGCGCTGGCGTGGTGGTGGTAGTAACGGGGTTCGTGCAGCCTCCCCAGACGCAAGTATCTACTGGGTCGAAGTGTCCGTAAGGGGTGCAGGTACCACGGATGACATTCAGACTCTCGTCGCATCTGTAGAAGTTGTGGCAATCCAAGGAATCAGGGAAGAAGCCAGGCGACGTACATTGGAAGGCAACGTCTTCAGACGAGGCCTTATCCTGCAAACAGACGTCACTTGCCTTACTGCAGCGGCCCGATCACAGATATTGACCAAACTTTGCGATGCGTCCCGCTTGGCCTAAAGACGCCACACTTCCTGTTCCTTTTATTTTACAACGCTATCAAAAACAAACTCCGTGGTTTTAGTCCGCAAGCGAACTATACCGACCGAGCGACCGCCGCTTGTCGGCGAAGTTAGTGCCAACTTTAGTGAAGAGAGGGTGTCGCGTGGTCAGCGCAACCGATCCCCACAGCCGTTAATTTCGGTTTTCTAGACCGGAGCCGCTATTTCCTTGAAATAGCTCCTCAATTATATCCTCACGAGGCTGAGTGAACCCCGTTCCAGACCCACTACTTGTCAGAAAATCTGGTAGAGCCGGGAATCAAACCCGGGACCTCTGGATCTGTAGCCAGGAGCTCGACCATCAGATCAGATCAGCGGTCTCTCGGTCGGTATAGTTCACTTGCGGACTAAAACCACGGAGTTCTCTCAAATTCTTGCCACGTAATCCTCAAGTTTCATCCCTCCTGATTTGGTCTTCCTAATTTTAATAACATCGTATTACTTCGAACATAAAACGCCCTCGAATTTAAGACGCATCCTGTTTTGAATTTGAATTGTAGGAAAAAAAATTAGAAAGGTGATCATCCCTCGAATGTAAGGCGCACATGATTTTTTCAACTGGGGCGAAAATGTGTAAAAGTTCCTGCTTATTTTCGAAATAATGTGATATATTAAAGTTAATAATACTATATTTAAAATACTTAACATATTATTGAATCGAGTTTCAGTGATTCTTGAAACAACTTACCATACGCAGTATTAGGACGCACAGGAGCGGCAGCCATTGGTGGGTCGACATGCCGACTGCAGCTGACTCGTAGTCTAGCCGCTGTTTGGACTTGTGTCAGTTCTGCCACGGCGAGTGTGCGTTTCACTTCGTATAGCTGACATTGTAGTATCTTTGTGACGTCAACACTTTATGCTAATTAGTGGCACCTCACACTCGTCTCAAGTGTTACTTAACTGTCCGTATTCCCAAATGAATAATTACCATTATTCTTGAAGGAAAAAGAATAGTGCATGTCCCGTACGTACATATGTAGCTGATTAATGACTGTCATGTAATATCTGAAAAATTGTATGGTCACATATCAGGTCTACTAGGTCTGTGATCGATATTTCAGCATATATTTCCTTATCCTTAGGAACCCTAAAGACACCCCACTAACCACCAGCGTTTTTAGCCTATTTTCCCTTTTGAAAAAAGAAAGAAGCTTATGAAATCATCTTTCTTTCTGTGTGTCCCCTTCCGCCTAACATTGCTCTAGGAAAGTGCTCGGTAAACACATTCCCGCTACAAGGAATACGTACGCAACAATAGAAGAATCATTGGACGCGGTGTTTTCTATGCGGTTCGTGTCGTATCAAATACTAAGTATCTAGTGAAAGGAAAGTAGATTATTAGTTCTTCCCAGAACTTCTTTTAATTTTTTTTTACCATTAGGCCAAGAATAGGTTTCAATAATGATTTCATATCTTCTGAGTTGTTACGACGGAGAATGACGCGGAAGTTTACCGACGTTTCGAAGAATCATGCAACCTCCATCTTCATAGTAAGAAGTAAACAAAGCAAGCTTACTGTTTCATTATGTTCTTCCGAAATATTGCTAAATTGTACCAGACTACACGGCTTAACAACAGAGAAGGCCCCTTTATTTGCGGAGGTACCTGGTTCGCATCTGACAAAGCCGTTGCGCAGAGCGGCGGAAGACGGAATTCAGTCCATATACCGAGCACATTGGTTCTCAAGTACAAATCAGGGAGGTGCTCGGTTCGAATCTGGGCCAAGACAGCAGCAATCCTGACGCTTTTCGTGTCTGAATTAGACCATGATCGTTCCCTTCAAAGTTCCTGCTCAGTCATCACTCACCAGCAACCTCATTATTCTGCGCCATATACCGCGAGATCCTCACAGCGTCGTTAAAGAAACCTTAGATAAATGAAGCACAGTGAGGCTCTCGTTTAGGTTTTTTTTTGTTGGGGGGCAATGGATTTGAACGCTAAACTGAAGAGAATTTAATTGGAGCAAGTTAAAAGTTTATGTTATTGAACTGTGTTCATTGAATTTGGACATTAACTGAAGGATGCAAAACCAAGGAACAAAACAGATACGAAACCAAATTCGGGTGTTACACTTTAAATAGGAGCCGCAGTAACTCAGTCGGTATAGGGTTGGATGGCGGAGGGCTCGGAGTTTGAATCCCGGTGCGGTCAATAATTTTCTCTTCTCCGAGTCGTCCTGACTGCCTCTGGGCCCCACCCAACCTCCTATCCAATGGGTACTGCTGGCCCTTTCATCGGGGGCAAAGCGGCAGGGGCGTGAAGCTGACCGCTCACCTCCAACTAGTGTCGAGGTCAAGAAAATATGGATCTACACATTCACTCCCACATACACCTTCATGGTGTAGTGCTTAATTAGTTAAGCAAGGAGACAAATTTATCTTACCTTATTCCACTTTAAGCAAAATACAGCTTCCATCGTGAAAGGTAAAGGTAAAAGTATCCCTGTAAGAGGCCCTGGAGGCCCACAGGGTTGTGAGCTGTCGAGGTTCCCACATTTTCTATTCAATTGGCTGACAGATGGCGGTGAGGTTGTTAGCCTTATATGCCGGCCGTCCTTTACCCCCAGGAAGATTCCTGGTACTCATTTCTGTTAGAGTCTGAGTCGACCCCAGGGTCATAGTGCGGCTGGAAGGATTAGGTAAATTGAAAACATCCACCTCATCGGGATTCGATCCCGCGACCTTCCGGCTTGTGGCACAGTGGCTCGACAAACTACGCTACCGCGTGCTCCACGACATACAGCGTAATACAGGAATTATTGAAGCGGAAGTTATGCATGGAAATTTATCACTTATTGCTTTAAAACATTCATTCATTTCTTGTGCAATTTTAAGCATAAACTTCCTTTTAGGCGTGGATCTTCCATTCTCGGCGCGATGTCATTTACCTTGTTGTTCACACGAAGAAACACGAGGAAGGACAACATGCACAAGAAGCCTAACACAGTCAGGCAGCAAGTGTTTTAAACACTTGCTCATAAATTTTTCCTTGATGAGAATTGACTTAACTGCGCGACATTGCATCCCAGGTGTGTTTAAGCCTTCCAGACAAGAAACGGCTTTTGTCCTACGTGTCTACGCAGGGGCACTATGCTAGAAGCCGGAAGATCGCAGGTTCAATTCCCAATGAGATCACTGAATTTTTCAATTGATCTAATCCTTCCAGCCGCACTGTGGCCCTGGGGTTGACTCAGCCTCTAACAGAAATGAGTACCAGGAATCTTCCTGGGGGAGTAAAGGGCGGCCGGCGCATAAGGTACCTTATCTGACGTCCATCTGTGGGCTGATTGTCTAGAAAATTTGGGAGCCTCGACGTCTCACTACCGTATGGGCCTCCACGACCTGGTACAGGGATAGCTTTACCTTATCTCACGTCCATCTGTGGGCTGATTGTCTAGAAAATTTGGGAGCCTCGACGTCTCACTACCGTATGGGCCTCCACGACCTGGTACAGGGATAGCTTTACCTTATCTCACGTCCATCTGTGGACTGATTGTCTAGAAAATTTGGGAGCGTCGACATCTCACTACCCTATAGGCCTCCATTGCCTGTTACAGGGATAGCTTTACCTTTTTATGTGTCTCGCCATTTGTGTCTGTCGCCTATTTCAAATGCGGGTTATTGGTCCGCGGCATTCGTAAGTTTTAAAAATTTGTACCGCATCTGTTGGTGTAGTGGTACCCTCATATTGGAGAGGCGCTAAGTTCGAATCTCTAGCAGGGACATATACTGTCCTGACTGATGCCTTTCGTGATTTTCATCAGTTCCTCCACATAACTCGAGTAGGACTTGATGCTTCTAAATTCTGCAGAATTGAACTCTCTACAATCATGTTCTCAGTCTACGCTTTATAGTCTGCATACTGAGAGCGTAGCGAAGTATACCGCAAGCAAGTGACAAAATGGCGTCAAGTCATTCTTACCTTGAGATATCAACCAGCAGGGACAGTAAACGGACCTGTCTACAAACCGCAGTTCCATTAGTGGCCAGAGTACTTTTGTTGCCAGGCTGCTACGAAAATAAAACATTTAATTTTACCTTATTCTGAAGCTGAACCTTTCTTGACAAGCCATCAGTTGTGTAGCTACTCAAGAACTTTCCAACATTTTATGGAACCTGTAGGTTCATTATCGTGATCCCTCCACTGGTTCCTATCCTGAGCCAGATCAGTCCATACCACCTCATCATATCTCTCTCTAAGATCAATTTTAATATTATCCATCCACTTATGTCTTGGTATTCTTAGTGGTCTCTATCGTTCTTGTGTTCCAACCGATATTCTATATGCATTCAGCTTCGTCCCGATTCGTGCTACATACCCTTCACATCTCATGCTCCTTGACTTGATCATTCCAATTATACTTGGAGAAGAGTACAAGTTATGAAGCTCCTCGTTATGCAGTTTTCTCCAACCTCCTGTCACTTCATCTCTCTTCGGTCCAAATATTCTCCTCAACGCCCTCAGTCTGTGTTCCTCCCTTAATGTCAGAAACCAAGTTTCACACCCATACAGAACCACGGGAGAAATTATAGTTTTATGTATTCTAATTTTTATGTTTTTAGAGAGCAGACGAGAAGACAAAAGGTTCTGGACTGAATG